GTATGTGAGATTGCTGGCTTTGTTTGTGGCTTGTGCTTTATTTACATGCAAACACGAATGTCAGCCTTAAAATCCCCCTTCCTTTTTTGTTCATTTGTATGTTTTTGTTGAACATTATGGTAGGAAAGCAGGAAATGAAAGATTCTTATTTCATAGCTTTGCAATCAATTTACTAAAATATTAAAGCAATAAGTGGTTCCACTTTAAAACATGCACATACACTTTGAACAAAGTTGGAAAGATGAACAAAAATTTGCCATTTGTGCTATTAACATGTGCTTCAGCAATCAATAATATTTTTTGTAATTGATTCCAGTTTGCAGGAGAAAAAACCCCTTTTTTTAAATACACTTCAATAGGAACCTTTTAATAAAATAGAATTTTCTTCCTTTTCTACATTTTCCTTTCCTTTATTAATTTGATATTTTGGAGTACACTGAGCAAAATGTAAATTATAAAATACATAAATGTGGAGGCTGCTCATTCCATGATTAAGGTTCCAAATTTTCCCTTCAGCATCATATTAAACACTTGGAGGCTCTCAGTCCAGCTGAATCCTTTGTTGATAGCAGTCACAAACACACCTCCCCGAAGCCCCCACTACAGCTACATTCTCCTATAAAAAAAAAAAAAAAAAAAAAAAAAAAAAAAAAAGAGAGAGAGAGAAGAAAAAGAAAAATACTCAGTACAGTTCAGCTTGATATATAAGCTGTTCAAGGGTGGTATAGACTAAGCATGCATGGGCACATTTTGTTCTCATCCTGAAAGAGGCTGCATGTCCAGGTCAGGACTGCTGTTAGTGGCAGGGAGGTAAAAGGGAAGTCCACTTAGCCAATGTCTTGCTTAGACTGTAATAAACTGTGCAGTAATGAAAGAATGCACTTTGTGATATTCCTCTTCTATGGCTATCATTTGAGATGAAATAATTACTTTTTTTTCTATATGAATAGTATGAGAGATGCTTTTAATTTAATGGGTAACTATTTTAGGGTAATTTTTCTGCACTTGACTAGCATATTTACAGGAGTCTTTTGACCACATTAATATTATTTTGTGATGGGTTTACATAATTTTTAAATCCTTGTACCACCAGCATTATTCCTGCATCTATTCTTTCTTATTAATTGCTTCAGGAAGCACTATAATTAATAATCAAAATTAGAAGTGATAATAATACAGTGAGAACACTCTTAAGAGCATTGTTACAGAGACACTAAAAGGTAAAAATACATTACCTCCTATAAAAATATTCTATAGAATATCCTAGACTTTGCAGGACTTTAAAAGGATTTTTATTTATCTGACACTACTATCCATGAATCAGATACTAAAAAATTATATATAATTCACTCTATATACATATATGCATATATCTATAAAAAGACATTCACATGCATAGAGTCTGCAGTCCATTTGACTACAAGTGGGCTAAAAGTGTTTAAAAATGCATGTTATGGGCTTGTTTACAAAATACTAAGTAATGAAATCATCAAATCATATTTCTAAGTAGTGCTAATGCATCCTCTGTTTTCATGAATATATTTAGGGTTTATTTCTAATGGGTAAATTTACTGACAGAAGTGGTCAAATTTAAGTCAACTTATATTTTGGCAAATTGAATTATTAATTTGCATATATATTCTGGAAATCAGGTCTTTAAATTTGTAATAACAAATTTAAACTTTCACTTTGCAATCAGATCTAATGCAAAAAGATTAATTTCAAGCCTACAAGGCTCTCTCTGGGACCTATTTAAAAATCCTTCTATTTAAAGCTCATCCTCACTTATTTTTTTCACATGTAAAGGTCATTTTCTAGTGCACTTAAAAATATTACTTAAAGAAGTAATTCTCAAGAAAAACATTATTTAATGTTTTAAATAGTTAAAGTATTTCAATATTGTTTCATAAATTAATATAAAGATTTACTCTGACCTGGCAGAGACATGCACACTGATGAAAGACATCTCTTCCAACTAGTCCAATTGCAATTCCCCACAGAATGTGAAAGAGAAAAAAAAGTCTGTTAAATTTTCAGTTCTTTCTTAATATGAACTTTAAAATCACAAGATTTTGAAAAGAAAAGCAGCTTAGATTAGTAAAAGATTTTTCATTTTTTACATAATGGTTCTACTCAGCAGTAATTTGCTTTACTAGAATGCTGTAAAGTTCTCTCTCAGCTCTGATGTACTGTATAAAACATTTCTTAACTCATTAATGTCAAATATAAATTAGTTTTATATTGGAATTTTAACAAAGCAGACTCCACAGGCAACATAAAAAGCTAGACTATTGTCAGAAATGGTGTAAAGCCGAATGCAAATTTAACCCAGGTATCATTTATCATAAAAGACACACAGACATAAAAAAAAGACACATTGCACTTTCTAGGATGTCCTGAAAATATTGCTGAATACTAGGCAACATGACCAGTAACTGGAATTCTGAAAACAAACAAACAAATAAACAGAAATGAAAAAGGCAACTTTTTAATTGAGCCAATAAAAGGTGATTGCATCCATGTTATTAAAATATTTTTCTTTGATAAAACAACTGTGGGCTTTGACTAATATGCAGTGTTGTAGTGTCCTGAATATGATTTTTCCACTTGTATATCCCTTGAATATCTGAGCAAGCATGTTGTATTGTATTAATATCATAATTCAAAGGGAAATTTATTAAGCCTCCCCCCTCCCAGTATTCCCATTATAGCTAAAAGTTGCAAATTCTATATGGCAGAGCCTAGACAGTAATATCAAATTTTAATAACAATTTCTCTTCTTCAGTCAATGCTATACTGAAGAAAAGCATAAATTGCTGTGACTGACCGTTAGTTGTTAGAGAAGCAATCTGACTTCTCCACACCCTTATTTCAGTGTATCTGCTCTGTCCCTCAGCTGTATTAATGATAGCATGAAAGGTCACATGATAAACGAGTGACAAAAATATCAAAACATATTAGCCTGTAGCTTTGTTATCAGTGTATGGCAGATATGACAGAAAATTGTATTTTTCCCCTGAATAATTTTGTGTTACATTTTGCTGGCTAGGCAGAGTGAATTAGGGAGAAATTTCTGCCTCTGACTGTTTGTCTCTTTTTCTGACATACTTGAAGTAATAATATACATTAATAATAGGGAATAGGCACAGGGAAGAGGTAAAAATTCAGGGACAGACTGTCTGTTTCAATTCTACAAGGTGCTATCCTTGTTTCTTTTGCAATACAAATTTTGTTGAAAAATATGCACAGCATTGAATCTTATTAATGCGACTGATAATGATCTGCTGTGTATTATGGATATAACAACAGGAACATGCAGGAAAAAGAGAAAGAGAAAAATAACTTTAAAGTAATGATGTTACGTTTCCACCCAGTTGTACTTCTCACCAGTACAAATGCACATACTCACTAATTAAATAAAGGCAAGCACCAACAATGCTCATTGTAGCAGAGACCTAGTAATTATGAATTAGAGACAGATATTACTCCTGCTGGTTTAAAGGCTGGCAGCAGTTGCAGTCCCTGGGGAGATGAGGTTAGCAATCTTTGAAAGAGAAAATAGAAATTGGCGGGAGCTTAATATCTTATGGCCTATCAGTCTCCATGGTCAGGCCATATCCAAGTTCCCTTTGCTGCTGGCAAACAGCATCAGTGGCAACTCAGTCCTTAAGCTCCCAGAAGATCAAAAGCTATTGAATAGAACTGTTCTGAAAGACACAAAGAGAAGATCACAAGCCCAACATGAAAAGTTATATAATTAAAACCTTAATAAACTGATAGCATATACATATAGATGGAGTATTAGTGATGTACTGCAACGCATGTTAGGTGTGAATAAAAATGAGGGTGCACTCTTTACAATGAACAAGCAGCAGTGGAATGAAAGAAAGTCTTTCAGTCTTCACCAAAATTTCAAATTGATTTTACCAAATTTGTCTAATGATTTGTTGACTTTTTATTTTCATTGTTATTCATTTATGTGCAGTTCCATATTTCTAATTATCTTGTGAGAAAAGAACTGCAGAAATATATCTGAAACAAAAAAGTTCTTGCAGTATTTATGATCTGATTCACAGAAGACAGTACCCGAAATCTCATGAGAACAATGTTCTCACATGAGATTTCCAACCAATTTTACAGACCAGCACAATCTGAATAGTTTGGATCTATTCCCCAACTCCAAAGGTTTGAAATATGTATCTCATCACAAATGCCTTGTTGTATTGTGCAGAAACTGTGGAGTGAAATAAGGGAGCATGCTATATCCTTCAAGAACTTCAGTGGGTAAGGTGGCAATAAAGCCTGGAGTTTTATTGAAATTGTCCAATTTATAGGTCAGACTTTTTTTGTGTGTGTATATATATATATATACACATACATATAACTCCATAAGGAAATTCTGCTATTATTTACATACAAAAATAAACATCTGTTAGTCAAGGCAGGGTGCAAACATATAGGAAGAACCAACCTTTACCCCAAAGAATTTACAACTTAAATAATTATTATTTGTGTTTTCAGTGTCATACCTGGCAATATATTCAAGAGTGACTATGCACAGAAAAATACCTCTCACTGCCTGCCCCCAAATACCTCTCCATCCTGGAATACCTGCTGTTTTTTCAGGTAGAATTCAATCTCCTTTTCTCTTTCTTTTGACATATCTCACACTGTTAGTCAATATTCATATTAAGCCCCAATATCACTGTTCCAAGATTCAGTTCATGCTTTATACTTTAAGTTAGTCAAAAGTCAGGGTTCGGCTTGGGATGTCTTAATAAGCCTATATTCAACTTCACTGTGTTCTCTTACTTTTTATGTCACATCTTTCCCACTGAGGTACAGTTGATTCAATTTATTTAAATAACCAAATATTTTATTTTTTTCCAGACTCATTTCACTCTTCTGCATCTCCTGAGTTTCTCTCTCTCTTTTTTTTCCACACAAAAATGTATATTGTTGATTTATATTAATTACTTCTGCTCAAGACCATCCAAAAT